CTCTGTTAATTCTTTAATTATTTCAATTAGTTACTGGTAATGTTTCAGGTTTCAACAGCATCAACAACATCCTCGGATATAAGGACAGTATTTGTATGTAGTCAAACTTTCTTCTGTTGTTGTAGTAATAGTAGTTTTTATTTTTGCTGGGAAGAGGTTTCTGTTAATATGATGGCAGATTATATCCATTCTGTATTATATTATAAACCATTGAATGTTATATTTAAACAGTATACTTTACCCATTAGATCCAGGTACCTTTTGGCTCTCACAGACACCAAAATCCAGGCATTAGGCTTGTGCGAGTGGTGACTCTGCCGGGTGTATGTCTCGTCCCAGCCCATCAAACTCTCATAGGCATTATTAAGACTTGGTAATAGCTTGTTTTCATTAAACAGACTTCATATTGTGTCTCCAGGTAGTCTGCGACCTGTACAAATAAAAGTAATAATAAGTAACAATGTGTTATTTGTGTAATTCTTTTATAGTTTCGTAATATTCAATTTTGCATAAATATTCCTTGCGCTATCGGTCAGGGCAGGCAGGAAAAGGTTACTGTGCATGGAAATAGTGTCCTTGCTAGAGCCAGCACTCTTCCTGGCATGGCTCACAGAGGGTACATTCCAGCCTCATTTACCAGTATAAATAATATCATTAATCCCTCCCATAGGTTCACTGATTCTAACCTCCTTCCAAGAGCCTTGTGCATTCACAGCAAGACATCCCCGTCACCCACAACTCGTCAGGAATATCTCATGACAGCACAATCCTGTCAATCCAGCTCTTATCCAGATTTTTCTTTGATGACACCTTCTCATCACCCACCACCCAGCCAGATTTACTCTCAATGTGACAGCGGTGTCATCCAGATCCAATGGGTAAAGGAACTGAAGATCAAAAGAAAACAAAACTTGATTTTAAAATTTTCTCTCTCTCTCTCTCTCTCTCTCTCTCTCTCTCTCTCTCTCTCTCTCTCTCTCTCTCTCTCTCTCTCTCTCTCTCTCACATCACACACACTTATATCATATATTCATTAATCTTATTGCCATTACAGGCAGTCCAGATGTCCGAGGAGGCCAACAAGGAAGTGCGTGACCAGTACAGAGAACTGCTGCAAACTGTGCAAGAGCAAGCCGACAAAGCAGGACAAGCGGGCGTCGATATCGCCAATATTCAGAAAATGGTCGATAAGGCCAACCAGACATTTGCCTCAGGTAAGTTTTCTCAGAAGGAATAAGCTCTATGGGTGTTTTTTTTTCTTCTTCTTCTTCTTCTTCTTCTTCTTCTTCTGATCTTCCTCTTCTCCTTTCTGTCTTTCTTTCTTTTTTTTCTTTTTTCTTTTCTTCCTCTTCTCCTTTCTGTCTTTCTTTCTTTTTTTTCTTTTTCTTTTCAATTCTTTCTTTCCTTTCCTTTCTTTTCCTGCTCCTCCTCCTCCTCATTCCTCCTCCTCCTCCTCCTCCTCCTCTTCCTCTTCCTCTTCATGATTATCATCATCAAGGTTACTGGTTGAATGGATTATGGCCATATAATACTGTTATATTTTATATGATTCTCCACACCAACTGAACACATACAAAGTTGCTTCAGATTGACATTGATAATATGATATTAAATCTTTTTATGCCCTTTTTCTTTCCTATTCAATATGAAATATTTATTAATGATTTTCCTTGCCTTTCTTTTAGTAGATATTATTTTTTGTGTGTAGGCATTCATATATATATTTGTTTGTTTTTCATTAAAATGCATTGAGGTGTGTGTGTGTGTGTGTGTGTGTGTGAGAGAGAGAGAGAGAGAGAGAGAGAGAGAGAGAGAGAGAGAGAGAGAGAGAGAGAGAGAGAGAGAGAGAGAGAAAGAGAGAGAAAGAAAGAGAGAGAGAGAAAAAAAGAGAAAGAGAGAGAGAAAAAAAAAAGAGAAAGAGAGAGAGAGAGAGAGATTCATTCATAGAATCAGGTATGCTATAATAAAATTAATATTTTAATCCAAATTCTCTTTTTTAATCATCACCACAACTATACGTATACACTTGTATTTTCCTCATGTATTTACCAGAAAGCTGTACTCACAATAACACAGTCACTCTGCCCCCCTTCCAGTGAAGCGGCCGAGGGAAGCCGCCCTGGACGCTCAGTTCTTAAAAACGTGCGGCGTGCTGGCCAAGCTCAACATCGAGTCCTCACAGTCAAATCTCAGAGTGTTTCGGCCCTCGGAATTTGGACAGAAGTTGGTGGGTGTTGGGAGCAGGGGGGGGGGGGGGTTAAATGGTTAAAGCAAGTTGCTTGTAGTGTTGTTTTGCCCCCTCCCCCAGTTAGTCTTGCAATGTTTGTATTAAGATACATAGCTTGCTTGCAATGAGATATTTAGAGTGTTCAGAGTGAAAAACTGAAAAACGCAATGAACCATAATTGTTAATTCTTCTGTTGGATGAGGCTTATTTTTATGATTTCAGGCACTCTTTATGCAACTAGACAGTGAAAGCAAGAGAGGGGAAAATGAGGTAGATTTTGCATCCTGGAAAAGGTAAAGTAAAGTTGTCAGTTTTATTCCCTTTATTCTCTTTCCTTCTTTTTCTCCTCCTCCTCCTTTTCCTTTTTCTTATCTTCTTTCTCTCTCTTTCTCTCTTTCCTTCTCTCTCTCTCTCTCTCTCTCTCTCTCTCTCTCTCTCTCTCTCTCTCTCTCTCTCTCTCTCTCTCTCTCTCTCTTCTCTCTTCTCTCTCTCTTCTCTCTCTCGAAGGAGTATAGTATGCAAAATATTTATGGGTAAAGTTAAATTTACCAGTGACAGTATTCATTATATTAATAGTGATTATGAATAGGGGATATAATGGTTACAATAATAGGAGTATGAACTAGAAGAGATATATATTGCTTATATATGTATAGGTGTACGTCTCAGGTTTCCCCCATTTTTGATTGTGGTCATGATTCTACCAAACCTAACTTTTTTACATTTGCATTATGTGTTTTTTCTTTCTTTCTTTCTTTTTTTGGTGCGTGCGAGTTTGTACATATGTGCCATTGTCTATGAGTTTTGGCATTCCCTGCAGATTTGGCAGAGCGGTGTCCTCCCTCTATAAGAAGACGACGGGGATTGAGCCCATGTTGGGGGCTTTAGAGTGGGAGAAGCCCAAGGCTGTTCGCAAAGAAAGAGTCGTTGAGAAGGACAAGGAGACCCAGAAGAAAACGCCCACTGAGGTATTTGGGAAATTCACCTAGTTTGTGTTTTGAAAGTTCACTCTTTCTTTGACCACGTTTTCTACTTTGATCATTTTTCTTGCTCTTCTTTTCCCCACTTTGTGTTTCTGTCTTTTACTTAACTTTTCTCTTGCCTTCGTTTCCCTACAGGTGGCGAATGCCGTCAGCGGGGAAGAACGGCAGACGGAGGAGGTACTGCGGCTGTACAAGATCCTCAACCGGCGGTACCACGAGTCCGGCAACCGTCCAGTGTGCTTCCTCTCCTTCGTTGTGAACCCCGACAGCTATCCACTGACAGCCGAGAACCTCTTTCACACAAGTTTCCTCGTAAGCCAACAGCTAGCCATAGTGGAGGAAGGTAGGAAGCCTTGTATGGTGTTCTAGGGTAAGGTTCGTAGGATGTAAATAATTGGGCAATATGAAATAGATGTTGAAAATAGATTCTGATAATTTGACATTGAGTTATGATTAAGATTGGAAGTACAAGTCCTTTCCACTACATGCATTTATTTCCTTTCTCTCCTCCTTGTTCATCTTCCTTCTCCATTCCTTCCTTCTCTTCTGCTATATCCATTTTATTGGTTTATATATTCTCTCTCTCTCTCTCTCTCTCTCTCTCTCTCTCTCTCTCCTTTACCCACCCCTACCCCTTCCTCCCACTACATCCCAATTCCTCATCCCCCTCTCCCACGACCCCCACAGAGCATGGCATTCCCGTGATCTCGCCGCAAGAACAGGGCCAAGCCGTAGAGAGCAGGGTCAGCTCCCAGTGTATTGTGTCCCTCTCGGAGAAGGAATGGCGGGACATCATCAAGACTTTCCGCATCACGCAGGCTATGATTCCTTCTCCGGCCAGCAGGGCGAAGAAGAGGAAGTCATAATCGTCTTCACCCTCCTCCTCTTTTTTTTTTTTTAGTTTTTAGGGTAGTAATGTCTTTCCTTTGTTTTTTTACTTGTTATATATTTGCCCTTTCTTTTTTTCTTTTTTTTCTTCTTCTTCTTCTTCTTCTTCTTCATAGTCTTTCCTTTTCTATTCCTCTAAAAAGAAAGCGAAAAGGCATTACTGTGAATTTAGTGAAAATTATAAAGTAAAAAAAAAAAAAAAAAAAAGAATGTGAATAGACCAGTTTTCTGTCTTATATTTTTATAATCAACTACAATCTCTCATCATATGATTGATATTTCATTTTTCCGGATAATTGTAGATTTTCTTATAAATTGCATTTCAATTATCACTATATATATATATATATATATATATATATATATATATATATATATATATATATATATGTGTGTGTGTGTGTGTGTGTGTGTGTGTGTGTGTGTGTGTGTGTGTGTGATACATTGAAAATAATAGCACACATTACTGTACTTCTAGTACAAAATTAGTCTTGTCATTTTCATATTTTTATACACATCATATCTTTGTTTAGTGTTGAGCTGTATAGGCAAATTAACAAAGAAATATATAGCACAATGCCTAAATATCATAAATATGTCAGTGAAGTCGTAGATTAATATTTTTTCTTTGTTATTCCCATCCCATGCAGTACACTTTGTGCCGTACTTTTATTCATTGTATCATTTTAATGTCCATGGCTGTGACACCCCTTGGAAAACCAGTGGCATTTTCCACTTGCAAATGGATTGATTCATTGAAATTGGTTTCTGTTGTATTAAAAGAAACCATAGGTATTAACCTAAAAGAATTTTCTCTTGTTAAGAAAAATGTATATATGATCATGAATCTGGATTAATGTAACATTGAACAAATTAAATGCTGTCATTTCCATGGCCTATGACTTAGTCCATTTCATTTTCCTCCTTTATAAATTATGATAATTTTCAATTGAATTCTCCAGTGTTGCTTGAAAAAGGAACATTATAATAAAAAGAAATATATATTATAATAAAACTAAAAATAAATAAATAAATATATCCTTATATATGTACACACATTTGAATACTCCTTTTCTGATTTCTTCAATATTATATATTATAACAGCAGGATTAATTAGTAACTTTAAACATGTAAATAATTCTGTGTTGCTTTGTTCATTATTGTTAAAAATTTAAATTTCAAAGAAAATAAAAGGTAGACCAATATGCTCACAAACAGTCAAAAGGCAAAGGTAATTAAAAAAAGAAGATGAATAGTAATGAATAAAAAAGAAAAAAACATGTGTGGGTGTGGGTGTGTGAGCATGTGATTTCATAGGAATATTTTTTAAAATTTAAGCATTCAAAAAGATATATATGTCAACATAGAGTTCACTCCAACAATTTTTGAGGTTTCAGACTTGCAGATGTTCCTGCCCAAGAGATGATTCATGTACCTTCAAACTAGGATTGCAAAAATAAATTGCAATTGATCTCTCACGGGAAGGTCTCCTAGTAACTGCAATATTTGTATGACATTGTCCTCATATCTACTTAGAAATTAAACTATGACACAGGGCTATTCACAATTCTACTCCATTGATCTGTTTTAGGACATCAGTCTCTAAATACTGCTGCAGAATCATCTTTCGTAAGGAACTGAATTTTAATCCGTACTTTGACGTTATAAGACCAATGACCATAGGTTTATCTACTGTCCACTATTTTTGGGGGGTTGATTTTGTTGCATACAGATGGTTCCAAAAGTGTCCAGCCAACAAGTAATCAATTAGTAGGTCCTATTATTATTATTATTATTGTTATTACTATTACCATTATTACTATTACTATTATCATTATTATTTTCATCATCATTATTACTAATTTCATCATCCATCATTATCATCATCATTGTGACCATACTTGAATTAACCATTCCTTAAATTTGGTGGAAAAATGTATATTTTTTCTAATGCCATTAATATCAGTATTGTTATTACTACTAATCACATTATGATTATTATACTATTAAAATATCAGAAACCATTTTCTTCTTCTTCCTCCTTTTCTGAAAATCAAGGAAAAGGTAAAATAGATAAAAAAAAAAAAAGGTAGACCTAACAATTGACTCTTTGCTGACTAGACATTTGTTGAGTAAAAAACAACAACAAATTAACTAAAATTACAGTGAACATCATGCCATTCACAGCCAATGGGATAAGAGAAAGGGCACCCAGAAAATGCCTATTATAATAACTTGGCAACACTAAAATGTAACACATATTGTGCAATTGGCATTGATGCTGAAGCTCTACCAGTGTAAAAGGAAAAAATACTCCTGATTAGAAATGATCATTTAAGCTGTAAAGCAAGAGTTTCATCTTCCAAGGATGATGAAACCTCAGACCAGACAGCTGACACATGCATGTTCTTTCTTTCTTTCTCTCTCTCTCTGTCTCTTTTTTTCTTTCTCTCTCTGTCTCTTTCTTTCTTTCTCTCTCTGTCTCTTTCTTTCTTTCTCTCTCTGTCTCTTTCTTTCACACATACATACATACATACACACACACACACACACACACACACACACACACACACACACACACACACATACATACACACACACACACACACACACACACACACACACACACACACACACACACACACACACACACACACGTAGAGAGAGGAGAGAGGAGAGGAAGAGGAAGAGGAAGAGGGAGGGAGGGGAAAGAGCTTTGTCTGGGCTGTGCTATTTAGAATGTTAGTTGTATTCATATTATCAATATGTATATAAAAAAAAAGTTTCTCTTTTATATCCTATAGGTCTAATTTTGGTGATGTCTTAGAAATAACAAAGGTCTTTATATTAAATCTTCTTTCATTTTCTTCAAAAAGAACGTATTACACTCTTATCTTTCTGTTGAGTAAACCTATAATTATTTCAAGGTGCCTTAATCATTTCCTTAAGTTGTCTGACATTACCCATTTGGCCTATTCATATTTTATGATTGTTACTAATATCATTTTGTTCTTTCATCATCAATGGCAATGTTTCTATTATCATCATTATCATTATTATTATTATTGTTATTACTATTACCATTACCTCCGCCAAGGAGGTTATGTTTTTGACAGTATTGGTTATTTTGTTTGTTAGCAGCCTAGCTCAAAAAGTGCTGGCCGGATTTCATCGAATTTTTGGGGACAAGTCAGAAAGGGACTAACTTTGAACTGATTAAATTTTGGTGACATTCCGAATTACCGTCTGGTTATTATTATTATTATCATTAATTAATCAATAAAGTACACAAATCTACGGTAAACATGTACCACATTTCATTGACATTCTGAATTACCGTCTGGACGCAGCAGCGGTGTAAGTACATTATATACGCACCTTGGCGGAGGTCTGCACTCTCTGAGTGCTTTTCTAGTTATTATTACTATTACCATTATTACTATTATTATTATTGTCATCATCCATCATCATTAATCATCATCATCATCAATCAATCATCAAAGAAAGGAAGAGATAAAGAAAACAATATGATTTGTACTACAAGAATCATTATTTCTCATATTTTGATCTGTCTGTAATCTACAACCTTCCATAATATATACATACCATACAGTGTTTTCTTCAGTGTGTACTGTTATATTTAAATAATAATATAAAATAACAAATGATTGTATATTCTAACTCACCTTGAAAGATAAAAATAATGCAACAACAACAACAAAAACAATCATGACAGTGATATAGAAAAATACCTATTTTCTACTGTTACATTTTTAAAGTGTATTTTTAACGTTTTACAATTCAAATTACATTAAAAATGGGTTTCCGTACACAAAGTACACGAAGTAAAGTAATCTCTTCAACACTGAAGGCTACACTATACATTCCGCTGCTGTCAGACCAAATGTGCGTTCAAGAAATAATTTATGAAAGTACGTGTGAATTGAACGCCAATGTATCTCTATCTACCAAAAAATATGACCCATTCTCTGAGTTCTACATGTCTTATGATGTAAAACACATTTTTTTCACGACTACTTTGGTATTCACATTATGATCTTATTTGATGAGAATGATTCATATTTTGTGACCAGAAAATAAATATGTTTCAATGTTGATAAAAATATTTTTAAAAGTAAATAAATAAAAGCTACATTCTGTACAGCACACCGAGATGACAGAAGTGTAAGTTTCTCTTTGTCATTGTTATCATTATTGATAAAAGCTACATATAAAACATAATAAAGATGAAGTTTCCATTTACTTTTCCACTGTTTTTTTTTTCTTTCCTTATCCTTAAGGATTTAAAGCCTTAAGGACTAATTCACTTATATATAAATGATTTGTACTTAAACTTTAATGCCTGCAAGTTAATGACTTGTATGTGTGGTCCACTGCCAGGTATTAAAACCAGTCCTCTCTAATGACATTCAAGAAAAATCTGCTTAAACTTCTCATCAACATAGAAAAGGAAAAAAAAAAAGGCAATGTCCAGCAAATTCTTTCTGTTAATCATAATAGTCATCATAGTAGTCATCATAGGAGTTGTCCTCCCCTCTCCGTCTCCTGAGCAGCTGGGCCGTGGAAAGGCTTCCCTCGTCCTCCTCCTCATCCTCCGCTTCCTCTTCCTCGCAATCCTCCTCCTCCTCTTCTTCCTCTTCCTCAGCCTCTTCCACCTTGGGGCCCAGAGAGGTGTTGGCTACGTCGACTGCCATTCCTTTTATCTTCTTGGGCGACTTCTCTCCCTCCTCCTTGATGGTGTTCCTGGGTCTCTTCCCCGTCAGAGAGTGGAGCACAGAGGAAATGCCTTCGGGCGTCTCAACAGGCCCGGTCTTGAGAGTTTTGGGGTTGGGCTTCTCCTCCTTGATGTCCTGTTCCCCCTCTTCCGCGTCCTCACCCTTCAGGCTCCGCAGGACATCGTAGTTGATCTTGTTGGACAGTTTCTTCTCCATGAGCATCTTCTCAATGGCTTCCCCTGCAGTATTGGCTGGAGCATTGCTCTTGGACTTTTTGGTGTAGTTCTTCTTCTTCTTCGGGGGTTTGCCTTCCTTCTCTCTCTCCTCTGCCTCCTTCTTCTCCCTCTCCTCCTTGAGCTTCAGTTCTTCCAGGTAGTCCTTGTTGATCTTCATCCACAATTCCGTTTTCAGCTTGATCTCTCGGTCAGACATGATGTACGAGTCAATTTCATCTTCATCAATGCCTGAGAGGTCCAGCACTCCACAGTCCTCTGGCTCTGGGTCGTTTGGGCGAATCTCCATGCATTCCTCTATCGTTTCCTTCAGACCCAAACTGGCTGCAGAGGGCCCTATGCCCTGCACTTTTAATTCCTGTTTCGTGACTTCATCCCCATTCTCACCTAAGCATTCATCTATGGTCTGTAAGGTTGCTTCAGTGATGAATTTTTGCGTGTCTGCACTCTCCTGTTCTACACTCTCCTCCTCAGTTGTCTCTTCTTCCCTGTCATATTTTGCCCATATTCCTCTTAGCTTCCGTTTCCGTTCCTCCAGGTGTTTCTCGATCTCCTGCTGCAGCACAGTCAACTCACTGTCCAAGTCCTCCTGCTCGTCAAGGAGCTTCTGCACTCGCTCCTTCTCCCGCTTCCTGGCAGCCCTGAAAGCGGGTGGGTCCTGCTCCTCATCCAGATCCATGGTCATGAATTCCTCTGGGGTCAGGGCACTGGAGGGCGTCTCTCCAAACTCCGTTAAACGCTTACGCAATGTTGACTCATGAACCTTGACCACTTTGATGACGTCACTGATAGTGCGGTTGTAGCCATGCAACCTGGCAGAGATGACTAAGGCTGCACCACACACACCAGAGGGTCTCCTGCCAGTATGCATCCAATCCCTCTTCATCCTTTTAACCAAGCGTAAGGCCGTTTCTGAGACCTCATGTGTCTTG